TTTTTTTTCAGAACTGGGGATTGAACTCAGGCCCTTGTGCTTGCTAGGGAAGCGCTTATTCCACTGAGCCATCTCCCCGGCCCAATTCTGTATTATTTCTAATGTTTTATCTATCATTTTTTTATTCTCTTTGAAATAAAAAAAACATATAATCCCAGTGCTGGGGAGACTGAAAACAGGAGGATCACTATGAGTCCGAACTGCATAGTGAGACCCCGTACCAAATACACAAAAAATTAATTAATTAAAATAAAATAAAAAACAAAGAGAGGAGACTGAATAATAAGGCCATTAATTATCCAGATATTTGCTCATTTCATTGAGGGGAACAAACAGATACAACTTATGTGCGCAGTACTCCAGAGATTTGACAAAGACTATCAGAGCAAGGAAAAGTTAACGGAATATGAGGAGTCAGGAGGTGGCAGGTGTCATAACAAGGGAGCAGTGGCAGGCAAGCACGCATGGGCGGTGGGGATCCAGGAATTACTACGGCTGCGCAGGCATGCAGGTAGTGCACTCATGGGCATGCCAAGAAGCTCGTGTGGCTAGGTGATGTTGGATCCAGGGGAACATGAAAACAATGGCGTCCAAAGGGAGAATTTGCTGGAATCAGACCTTCCAGGCCACCGTACATACTTGGGCTTTCACTGTGAGAGAAACACGAAGCATAAATAAAAATTAAAGCAAAATAAAAGTTTAAAAATACAAAACAGAGAGATTTTTTTGCAAATGGAAGGGGAACCAAGAGATGGAGAGAAGAAAAAGGGGGGGATAAAAGAATTAAGGTGTGTTGCATCCGAGTTCCAACTCCCCAGGACAAGATCGTCTCTGCATAGTATGCACATGTAAAACAAAAATGAAGAAGCGAAGGACCACTTTGCCAATCAAAATACTGCCCAGAAGGGCAAGGAGTGGAAGCAGGGAAGCTCATGAGGAAGTTGTTTGCAGGTAAGAGGCGCAGTTACTAAGCAAGACCCAAGTCACGGCAGCGTCAACAGCTCCATCTGGGAACAGACTGAGGGACCGGATGCAAACGCAGCCTTGCCACAGTCCAAATCCAGACCGGATCCGCCACTCTCTGAAGTGGGGACTGGATAGCCTGGGAGCAACAGGGATACAGCACCACAGATGTAGGCGTCACCCTCGTGTCAACATGTGTGGGTGCTGCTTAGGTGCCACACCACTGGAATGTGCTTCTCACATATTATCTCAATTCACCCTTCTAGTGGCTATGTATTTACAAGAAATTAAGACTTAGACAAGTTATAAGATGCCCAAGGTCATACAACTACAACCAAGAGAGACAGGCGCAGCTACCTCTGTATAACACTAAACTTACCATTTTAATTACTATTTTCTTTTCAACTGTGAAATACAAAGCATAGGATAAAGCTTCTATGGGAAAGAGATAAGAATAAGCATTAGATGATGACTTGTTCCTAGTGGAACTCAAGAAGAACCTGCTGATAATGAATAAACAGAAATATGGATGATGAGCAGATAACAGATTGGCCTTGGGAGAGGAAAAACACTTAAGATTCCATTCCAGGGACTGCAGACTGGACAATGAGTAGTCCACATCTGTACAAGGAGAAATGAGTTTTTAAAAGCAGATAAATCAGATATACATACATTCTGCTGGACCTACAGTAAGGATAGTTCTTAGTATAGTACCTTCCACTGTTATATAAAGACAGACACGAAGATGTATATCATTTTACATAATCCAAGCACTTAATACACGTTTTAAAAAACGCAGACAGCTATAATAACAGAAGTTGGAACTCTTTGTCCAATACAGAAGACCACACAACCTTTTAAATAAAAAGCAACCTTTTAAGTCCATCGATGAAACCACCATAAGTGGCTCTGCATAGATACCAGGATGGTGTTTGTGGTACCCTCGCTAATTTAGAGGATCAAATCCATAAATCACTTCCTGGAGTTTATCTTCACCTTGTTTCACCCCTGAGTGGGTTTCTTCCCTTGTTTTTATCCTGTAGTCTTTGGAACAAACAAAGCAAGTTTTTAAAACAAAACCCAAAAGTAAAGCAGGCCAAGAGGTCCTCCTAAAGCCAGCTTGCCAGTGAAATAGCAAAATATTGATTAACTCTGTAATGTAATAAAATAAATCATCCATGTAATCTTTAAAAATGTGTGGCTCTCCTCAGTAGCATCTGTTTATGATAAAGAATGGGTTGCCATGGTCAAACTCTAAAGACAATGCCAGAGAAGACAATATTGAATGCATGAAGTATGTCTGAGGTGGTTTCTAAGATGATCAGCAATTTAAACAAGCAAATTAAATAAGACTGACAGATACAGGTTTCTGATCACAAGTATTAGATGAAGGAAAATGTCAAAATTCCTAAACGATTTTAAACCGATAAAATAAGTTAGAAAGTATATCCACAGCATTAAAAAGTCAGTATTTTACAGTTGATGGATTTTACAGGATTTCTTGTACTATATACTGTATACATTCAATAAATGGATTGAACTTATTTCTGAAGTCAAAACAAAATCCTAAAAGCTTCTGACAGTCGTTCTGGGATTGTGACAATTCGTAATGAAGAGGAAATTGCACGGGTTTGCGTGCACCATAGTTTTACTCATTGCTTATCCCTTTGAGGTGCCCATGACATAGACATACATAAAGCCCAAAGTCAGCAGGGGGTGTTTACTCCCATCACACCCGCGCACACACAAGCACATACACTCACGCAAGCACACACACGTGGGCACACACGCACGCGATGCTCCACAGAGCGCAGGGCGCCAGCACCAAGGCTACCCCAGGGGTCAGACTCACTCGCAGCCGGTGCCACCGTTCAAAACAGAAACTGGAAAAGGCTCGCACTGCGAGGAAGTTAGCAAACATCCAGCCCTTCTGGAAAGGACGCCCCCTGGAGCGGCGGCTGCTCTTTCCTGCGCAGAACCCGGCTCTCGGGCGGGCGGCCCCGTCCTAGGAATCACTGAGGCGTAGAAAGTTCAAGGTCCGCCCGGGCGGCGCCGCGGTACCGGGCTGCGCCGGGAGGCGGGAGGCTGTGGCTGCTGCTCCTCGCGCGCGCGGCTCCCGCCTCCCGGGCCTTGTCCTGGGGGCGCGGGGGGC